AATGTAGAAATCCTCATGTATTCCCTGGTAATGTCCAAATGCAGAAATCCTTATGTATTCCTTTGTAAGGTCCAAATGTAGAAATCCTAATGAATTCCTTGGTAAAGTTCAAATGTAGCAAATTCCAAGGACTTCCCTCGTTATCTCTTCGAAGTAAGGTCAAGGGCTAGAATATCCCAAGGCTTTCATAAGTGAGTTCTCCTACGTAATGTCCAAATTGAGAGGCGGAAAATACAAAAGGGATATTCATACTCACAATTCCAAGACAAAATGACAACGCTATGGAAAAAAACTTAAAACGACCAAGAAACAATCAACAGTCTATAAAACACAACATAGAAAACTAAAGACTGAGCAACAGAAACCCCACCAAAAATCGGGGTTAGTTTTAGGGTAAACAGATCCTGTTCAGCATGTAGCACCCTTTATGTAGCTCATTGAAGCACACATTCGGTGATAAATTTAATTAGGTGATGTCCCATTCGAGGAAAAGAGGACAGGATTGGGGTTACAACAGTTTGTACATATCCGTCGTCACCTGTGAAACAGATATTCCATAACCGTTAACCAACTCGTAATTGTGTCCGTACAATTTTCGAAGGGCTGACTTCAACTTCACTACTAGGAATTTCATTTATATATTCCTTGGAAGCAGCAACCCGCTATCAAGGAAATCATTATAGGACATGCAAACTCTGGGATATCGTATCAACTGGAAGTTATATACTCCATATGCAGGCGCTGTTGTAATCTTGTTACATATAAATGGAAAGTTCGCAATTCGGATGCTGAAATCATGTTTTTTGTCGTAAAGTTTTTTTCTCAACCGACCCTCAATTTTTGGATTAAGTAAAGATATGAGGCAAACTTATCTGTTTATGTTGTTAAATATATTTCAAGTTTGATGCGTTCACCATAGTCACCAACCTTTGAATTATTTAGTGAGAAGACATCATATATTGAGCGGAATTTGAAAGTTAAAAGATAATGATTGCTTCCTTTCATTCTCCAAAGAAGCTCTTGTGTGAAGTCTGCTTCATGTGAAATATAGAAACAAGTCGAAGAAGAGGATCACAGATGGTTCCCATAGGAATGCCGAATGTCTTTTAAAAAACACGTCTTCAATGGCAAAAAATATGTTGTTAATCAAGAAATCAAGCATCTTGATAATGTCTGGTTAAGAGTATAAAAGTATAATAAAAGTACCGAACTCCAAGGCAAATTTAAAAAGAGGAAGTCCATAAAAACTGACAAAATCAACGCTATCAATCAACGGAACGGGTGAAGAAAAAAAACCAACTGCCCTATTCCTGACTTGGTACACACATTTTCCGACGAAAAAAGGGTGTTAAACCTGGTTTTATATCTAGCAAAACCTCCATTTTGTATGACAGTTGTTTATGTTCCGTTATATTGACAAAAAATGGGTTTGTTTGAATCTGAGGGGGTTTTTTTTGTTTGCATTTGTATCTACGTTGACCTTTTTCTTATGAAACAAAGTAAGATCAATTATGTCATAATAAAATTGATGTTAATAGTTTAGAAGGAGATTTCGTAGAGCACTTAGGAGACCCATTAACATAACGCAGTTTGTAAGGACAAGTATCCCATAAAGTGAAGAAAAATCCATGGTTGATATTCTAAGGAAACATAGAACAGACCTATGATCATTCAGGATTTCCTCTTTGGTAAGTGTCATGGAGTATATGTTGAGTTTCCAAGTAAATTGTCAATACCTGTTTTTATCAAGCAGTTTATGTAATGTAATCTACGCACAAAAACGATGTTGTTTAGAGCTTTATCTGCTGGAACAACACCATGTTTGTCATGGAAAGGAGGACAGGTGCTTAGTAACATTTGGGTCTTTAAAGATCGATGTAGCATGTGTATTCATACACCCAATTCAGTTTTTTATACTAATTTGTATCAACGATCTCGCAGCCTTAATCTTATGTAGACGAAACGCGCGTCTGTCGTATTAAATTATAATCCTGGTACCTTTGATAACTACTTAACCCATTTAGAAAGAAAAGAAAATCCCAAGGCCCTCCTATGCAAGTTTCAAAGGTAAAAATTCTTATGCTATCCTAGTTAAGGTCCAAAGGTAGGAATTCCTTTATTCTTCTAGGCAAAGTTCACAAATAGTCTTAATGTTTCTTGAGAAATGTAGCAATGTAGCAAATCTTAATGCTCGCTTTATGTTCATGGGTAGATATTCGAATGCTTTTCTAGGTAAGGTAAAAATATAGCAAAATTAAAGCCTCCCTAAGTATGGTCCAAAGTCATAAAATTCCAATGCCGTTTTTAGTTAGTTCCTAAAGGAAATACATCGTATTTCTCTCCTAAGTAAGGTTCGTGGGTAGAATATCTAAATGCTATGCTAAAGTAAGGTCCATTGGCAGAAAATCCTAACACTCACCCAGGTAAATTCAAAAGGTAAATATCTTAATTTTCTATGAAAGATTCAAAGGTAACATATCCTAATGCCTAGGAGTAAGGTCTAAAGCTTGTTTATTCTAATTCTACATACATTCCATTGGTTGATACCTTAAAGTTCTTTAGAGTAAAGACAAAGCATAGTATATCTAAATTTCCTAATCTAGGCCCTAAGGCCCTAATATTTCAATTCTCACGTAAGTAAGTCAAAGTGTAGAATATTTTACTGCTCTCCTAAGTAAGGTCTAATAGGTAGACTATCTCAATGCTCTCCTTGGTAAGGTATAATTGGTAGACAATCCCAATGCTCTCATAGGTCAGGTACAATGAGTAGACTATCTTAATGCTCTTCTTAGTAAGGTACAATAAGTAGACTATCTTAATGCTCTCCTAAGTAAGGTACAATGTGTAGACTATCTTAATCCTCTTCTGAGTGAGGTACAATGGGTAGACTATCTAAATGCTCTCCTAAGTAAGGTATAATGGGTAGACTATCTTAATGCTATCCTAAGTAAGGTACAATAGGTAGACTATCTTAATCCTCTTCTAGGTAAGGTACAATGGGTAGACTATCTTAATGCTCTCCTAAGTAAGGTACAATGTGTAGACTATCTTAATTCTCTTCTAAGTAAGGTACAATGGATAGACTATATTAATGCTCTCCCAAGTAAGGGGCAAAATTAGAACATTCCAATACTTTCCTTAGTAATGTCATAAATTCGTATGCTTTCTTAAGTAAGGCCCAAAGGATGAAGCATTATACTGTTTTACTTGATAATGCTTAAAGGGAACAATGTAAGTTGTCGCTCCTTTGTTCAGATAAGTAATAATGTGTAGACCCTATATATAAATTTATCAAGATGTAAGATTAGATTAATTTCTGTTGACTAATGATTGGATAATTGTTATATGTTTATTACAAGTGTGGAATAACTAGGTCAATATGTACGAAGTTCTCAGTTCAAATGCTTTTATTTAAAATGCCAGTTGTTTTTGAAGTCTTTTGTGTATCTGTCATTTTTTACTTTGATTTGAAGAATGTTATTCTAAATGAGTAAATTGAAACATTATCAAAACACGAGGGGTGCCAATAGTGCAGCTAGAACTGTTTACCGTTCAGGAAATATCGAGTGTTCTTCGCTAGTATTTTATTTATTCTCGCTTGATATCTCACTCTTTTCTTCCAATCCTCTAAATAGTTTCACCATACTCAACTAAACTAGCAGAACAGGAAAATACAGGGTTTGATATAAAACTCGAGAAAGCATACCGTAGCACCTATTCTCACTTATAAGGGGTTCCTTTCAGATGAACTTGTTTTGCAGAAGAAAAAGGTATTCGTCATTTCTAACTGCTAATGAATATGTTTTCTATATTTTCTGAATACATGTGTCTTCACATAGCAAGTGGTATCATATAAATTATAATCTCTTCAGACAATCACTATATTCTTATAGTTTTGTTTGTATGAATCTCTTTTGACATATTAAGCATTGGATTCTATTTCTTTTTCTTTTTGTAAAGATGAGATGGTTGTTCATAAAATAAGGGTATTAACTGAAAACTGCTGCATGCAATGTGCCGATATAGAAATAACTTAGGTTGACAATAATAAAAACAGAACAAACACAAAGGTCATGTTTGATGTCTCCATGTTTCCAAGATGAACATCCTCGACATTGAAGGTTCATAAAACTTTTGAAATTTTACTATGATAGTGTAGAGGTCTGTTGTACTTAAAATGATTTACAATCAATTTTTTAATTAAAACTATTCATAAACACCCTTATCCTTGATCCATGGATACTTTGAAAACGACATTACAGTATGAAGCCTCTTTTTGTCACAAATTGAAATTTATAGGATTTTAAAGAAAAACCAATTAAAAGGATGATTCATGTAGAATTTCCCGGCATAATAGAAAATTTGTGAATCATATACAGATAGTCTCAGACGACAATTTTGAATTAATTTTAAATGATTTAGTCATGTCTGAAGCAAGAATATTTCCCAGACAGGGTCGTTTGTTCTGTTCATAGGATGATAAGGGACCAAGGCAAAACTATTACCCAAATCAGGACTAATCAAAAATCCAAACAGAATCTTCAAAATGTAATAGTGGTGGCATAATGACAAAACGAGATGCTAAGTATATGCATTATAAGATATATCGTCAAATAGATCATATATGTTTAAAATAAATAAATATATATATTTTTTTTCAATTTCTAGAAAACACCTTTTTTACTAACATAAAGAATTGTCAATTAAAAGAAAATAACATGAAAATATTATCATGACTGGTTAGAGGTTTCTTAATTTCTAATCTCTAAAAATAGGGAAACTAGGTATTTAACATAAAAGTGGAAAATGTGCTTCGTTTCTTTCCTTGCTTCTCAGCACAAATATCATACACATATTCTTATTTTTTTAACATGATTAATGTCGTTTCCTATGTTACATATCGTTGGAATAAAATTAGAACAATTAAAAAAGACATTTAAAAAAATAAAAAAATCAACCTGATGACTGCAAATTCTGGTAGTTAAACATACTTACTTACACCGATAATAACGTTTCCTCGGTTCATTCAAAATAATTGCAAGGAAAGACGAGTAGTCTCCCTTGGTTTGCCTATTTTTATAACCAGACATTGACAGATTACGTAATACTTTTGTCTGTCTGGATTTTTGAAGGTAAGAACATTTCTTGTCTGTAATCTGTATCAATATTCAATTTTACACCTGCTTTTATTGTTCACATAAAAATGTCTTCACTCGTCATTGTTTAAAAATCATTAACACATAACAAATAAATGATTGCCTCAATTAAAATCTTACTGTAGTAGATACTATAATTTGCAGTTTCCTTCCATTCAAAACCTACTTTGTTTAGTTTTAATATATCTCATTTTATATAAGTCGCAGCTTGTTTATTTGTTGTCACGATTTTTCCGTTTTTTTCTAGTGAAATCAATTATATCTACCACCTTTTATTCAATTTATTTTCTTTTTATTCATCCAGTTGTAAAATATATATTTACACCAACATGTAATAGGAAATCCTGCATTTATCATGCTTTACCATAAAATATATAGAAATTGCTGAAAGACCCCCCTCCTTATTTGATTAAATCTATCCTTTTGCATTAACCACAATATCTTGGTGTCAATTAGATACACCCAATTTGGCTAACGCCCTCAGGGGTGTATCTCAAACATAAAACTAAATTATAAAAACACAGTTATAAAAACAGTTAGTTCTTCGTTGACCAAGAAATAAAGTAACTTTTGCATCCAGTTTTTTTTTAAGTCAGTCGGTCAACTTTTTGTCTAAACTTTTCGTATTCTAATTAATCGCTTGTCTCACGAACTTTTTGAAATATATATTCGTTCTGTTTTAAATCTTAAGAATTTTTCTCATTTTGAAGGAGCAGTGAAAGATATCAAAGGGATATTCATTGTCATAAGTCAAAAACAAACTGACAATGATATGGCTAAAAAAAGAAAAAATTTAAACGTTCCAAATTATTTTTACTGAACACAACACTCATTGAATTTGTCATATTATGTTACTTTTCAATTTATCTTTCAAGTCTGAATACGTTTGTCAATTTATTAAATGAAACATATAATGAAATGAAATAATATTGCCCAATCAATAAAATAGATGTCTACAATAATTTTTGTTTTTTGTTTTTTTGAAGAAATAAAAATTATCCATTTAGAAATTTTTCATAATTTCATGATGTTATAAAATAAGAAAAAGATATTAATATATCGCATAATTAAAAAAGAATTTCTTTATTTTCCCATTATCTTTTTCGTGCCTTTATCTGTTTTCTTTTGGGGTTTTTTTCTAACAGGTAAAACATGTATTTTCACATCTTCTTTTATTTATATTCAAATCATTTGACGTCTGATTATGAAATTTAGTTTTAATCGTATAGTAATAGTGCTTCTGTTCCAGACATATTGGGGTTTTTGAACAAAAATGAAAGCGCAATTACTGTTTAAACCGTGTTCATTTTGGCCTTTGATGGATAGTTGTCTCATTCACACTTATACCACTACTCCTAATTTTTAATATTATTCATTCCACTTTTTTAAGTTGCTGATTATATTATTTATCAACCTGCCATATCTTAGAGTCCAAAAATTGTTTCATATGAAGCCCCTGTTTATTCATTTTCTTTATGCGTGTATTTATGCTTTTTAACTTTCACCATAGATTCTATATATATTTTTTAATGGAAAGTGGTTTATTCTTTATTACAATTATTTCTTTCAAAATTTTCCAAAAACAAAACAATATAAAAATCAAACAGAAGTTTGATTTCTATTACTACCTACATATCTCAAAAACAACGGACTTTACATATAAAAAATATTTCATTTAAAGATTTTGGGATGTAAATTTCATTCTATATAAGCTATTTCCGTATATGGTGTTGCACTCGTGCCAAGGACAAATTCATATATAGAATCTGTGTCTGGAAATAACATGGCACTTTCACAATTAATTATCTTCTGGATGGGATTGGTGGTATTAATCTAATCGTATTAAACTTCCACCGATACCAAATCAAAAGCCAAGCTTTTTAAAATACAATGCTTATTTTTCATATATAAAAAACTCAACAATAATTTGTGTTAAAAAAGATCGAATATTAAAATTAATATTACCTTTGTTCCATACTGCTATGGTATGCTGCATTTATGCTAATAAGTGTCGGTAGTTTCTATCCAATCACAGACGTTTTTATTTCTAGCTATTTGTTCTGATTTAAATATGGGGCATGCCTAAGGAAAATTATCTGAAACAAAATGAATATTTTTTCTCTTCATTTTAAGTTCCCATAATACTATAAAAATTTGATTAAGTTAATTCAGACCTTGAATTTTTTTGTTTAATTGAATATATGTTTGTTTAAATAAAGTTTTCCTAGGTCTACATATTTAAATAAAGTTTTCCTTGGTCTACATATTTACAGTAAATTGACGCACTAGTAGTTTACCGATGTTAAAATTTCATGAATCGATTAAGACGTCAAAAACAAGGTATTAAACAAAAAAAATATAGTTCCTTTGGTGTTCAATTAATAATCAACCTTTATATACACATTTAATATAAAATGTAGATTTTTTCAATTTGTACGCATTATTCCTCATAAGATAACCGTGAATTTTAAGATACAAATTGTCTAATTAGTTTATCCCCAGTGGATATTCATAAAGAAAAATGTCGATAAAAATAAATACACAAATATGTTAAATAAATATTATAATTCACATAAATTAGTGTAATGAGTTTAATCATTGATCAATCCATTCATTTATTTATTTATCTTTTCTTTATTCATCTATTAATTTATTCATTCATTTGTTGAATTAACTTTTGATTTATACAGAACATTAACACTTTTTGGCTGAAGTATAATTTGCAAATAATGGGAAAATGTAACATTGATACCTTAATTTATATTAAAAAAAAGAAACTGTACGTACAAAACCAATTCAATTCTCAATTTTTATATATCTATAGCTGAATTTCGACTTTTTTAACGCTTTAAATTTATTTCAAGATTTCTTTTGGTTTAATTCTTTTCATATTTAGTTAAAAAAAAAAAGCAATTATTTCATTTTAGATTTAGTTTTTCTGTTAATAATAACAGCAATAAATGTATTACTAAAAATACAAACAAATGAGACTTAAAAGCCTATTATTTAACTTACGAGTAGTTCGGAGGACTTTTTGAAAATCAATTGTATTTGAATTCTTGCGCTTTATCTAAATCAAGAACGTTATTATTCCAGGATCAATAGATATATTTGGAAATGAAAATAATGAAAACAAAAGAATATGTTTTGGTGTAATACGAAAAAATTGGCAGGTATGAACTTTAGATAATATTTGCAATTAAAATAAATCATAAACAGTATTAACACCTAATGGAAGGTATATTTGTTTAAATACATTTTCTAACCAAATATAAACAAATATTGTATTTAATATTAATGATTGAAACTTTGTATATTCATGCTTTTCGCTGCAGAGAATTTTAAATAGTCTATCTATTCTTTATAGGAAAAAAATCTGTTTACGATATAGACCCAGACTAAATGTAGTTAATCTCTAAACTTGTAATTGCAATACAGAAACTACATGCACATGCTGTTTTAAATTTCAATTTTTTATTGGGAATAGGCTGCTGATAATTGAACATCAATTATTAAAATCATTACTGTTTTCCGTATTTGTGTATATTTTGCGGTAAAGTATGATATTCCAAAATCTATATTCAAAATCTTATTTGTAATTTTGGCAGATAATAATCATTGTTGTGTTAATGATCAATCCTATTTGATTGTCACGGAAGCATTTTAATGTCACAGAAAGATTTCAATTTATCATGATTCCACTGAAACATTTTTCATTTCCACATGTAATTGGTTTTTTTTAAATACTTTTGCATTCATCTCAGAAACAAAAAAAAGGAGATGAGATTTTCGTGTGCTTCGATAGTGTTTTAATTATTTTTTTTCAACATCGAGAGAGGTTGTCTTTTGTTATATCTAAATGTTTTAATTTAAATTTTTTTTCAATATCATTCTGATGAATTGGGGGAAATAGGGTAACTGGTAGATCTTTGACAGTATATGTATTATTTGCTCATAACTTGAGGTATTTTAAGCTTAACATATTGGATAAATACCTGATTTTTCGAAAGAATTTTAGGATTAAGTCATGTTCTAAAGCTGTATTATAGTGAAGTTGTGATTGTGTCTTAAATTCAGATTTAAAATTTTTCAAAAAGGTTAGACATTAGAATACATGTTTAAAGATTATCTCAAGATAATCATAATATTATGTTCATGAGCATCATATCGATTAAACATTTATTTGCTACAAATAGCATGTTTTAAACTTGGTAATATGTTAGATATTGTAACGAATATAAAATATTTACTCCTGTCAAAGTATTGTCTATTGAAGGTATTTCCATGAAAGAATCGTGTAAGGCGTACATGTAAAACTTAAAAAGTTGTAGCCATTGATTGCCTGCAAGGCGTAATGGGGAGAATGGAGAATTGATTACTCTGTACAAAATTTGTTCTCTAATTTGTATAAATGCTGAGAAAGTCTCGAAATATTTTTAAAAATTTCATAATTACATAAAACTGTTATAAAAGACTTGAATCGTCTTATAATATCTTATTATAAAAATATTCCACTATACAAATTTTTTTTATTCAACATATTCATGATGATAAACGTTTCTTAAATTTTACTTCCGCTATATATCTTATTGTCATTATTATCATTATGTAAAAAAAATATAACAAATACTGAACTCCAAGGCAAATTGAAAAAAGGGAAGTCAATAAAAACTGGCAAAATCAAATGCTATCATAAAGTGAAGTGAAAAACAACTACCATATTCCTGACTTGGAACAGGCATATTTCCGAAGAAAATGGTGGGTTAAACCTGGTTTTATAGCCAGCTTCACCTATAAATTATTATGATTATTACTTTATCAATCATAGTAGTAATGTTTAAGTTAAAAGTGTGTATTATTTCAATGTTAAAGAAGAAAGACGCCTTAAAATAGAACATAAATATAACTTGGGATAGTCATAAGAACATCCTGATTAGGGCGCTCAAATGACATCTTTTAAAAGTCAAAGACGTATCAAAAAAGATGGTCCTATGATAGCAATGCAGTTTGTTCTATGATATGTCTTATGGCATATCTTATGACTGTTGAATATCGGGTCACTGTGTTTTTAAAGACTGTATGTAAATGTCCTAATAGCTTTTAATAATTTGAGTCGTTTGTTATTTTTTCCAGTGACGTTACCCACACTTCCTTTTCATTAATATATAGATCAAATTTTTTCAAGACAACTCGTTAACACATCAATGTTTTAAGCAGTAAATAAACTTTCTTTATTATCAGAAAACTGAAATATCTAGGAAAATATCCTCAACTGTTTCTGTAATCAGGTAATTACTACCATGGTTAGTTTGATCAACGGTTTGACAGTAATTTTATGCTGAGAAATTTTTTTTGTAGGTGTGCACATCACCGAGCTCCTGGAATGACATAAACGTCCCCAGCTGGTATAAAATACGAAAAAAATAACCCGTAAACATATTCTTTTTACTTTTGAAATGAGATGAAATGTTTATCTTTTGAGACCAATAGTGAATATTTTGTAGTTTAAAACTACTTAATCGGACCCCAACTGAAAGACATACATAAAAGTAGTACATATTTGCAACAAAATAGTTCCTACGCATATCTGTAACTTTGTAAATAAGTAAAATATTTAGGTAAATTTGGTATCGAATGTAAACCTAATGACTTGGGGACCACTGTATAAGCCTTGTTGAAAGTTTCTTTTGAACAATATAAAAATAATATGAAAAGAAATATGAGGACACATTTGGCCTGTGTTGCAGATCAGAAGTACTCATATTTTTGTACTACCAAACTTCCATGAATCAGTGCACTTTAATATGCTATTAAAGGTAGCGCAATTTTTTAGCACAAGCCAGGATAAGGGATAGTTTTGACATGAAATAGCTGTCACTTTATTTAAACTTAACAATGCTGGAAATTGCAGAATTGAACATAGAAAGCAATAGGCTATGCATTAGAGATTTTATTCCTTATGTGCTGAGATAGCAACTTTTGCATTCGGGGGTTTCAATGTTATATCTTAGGAAAAGATGGGAGAATTCTCATTGACCCGTATTTAAAAAAAAAATCTTTTCAAGGTTGGAGCTGAGATTACTATATGTGTTATAGTAATATCAGGTTGGCGATATTCCGACATTCGACACATTTCTTTGATTCGCCATTTGTTTTCAAGAGTAAATTTGCTTTCTACCTATTCTTTGCGCCACTGTCTTTTATAAATGTACTGATCAATATGTTTTATATATGTATCATTTACATATAACTTTATGTAACTTTTATTTATATATAGAGCTAAAGGAACTACCCGATTTCAGATTGGATAGCTGAAAATTGAAAATGATTTTTATTTTGTTGTTTTGTTTACCCTTTATCATATTTTGCATTTTTGAGTAACGTTGAAAAAATTCGTGTGACACATCAAATTAAAATCATTTCTAATTTTTTTATGCATTATTTTGTTTGAATAATGATCGTTTTCTGAAAGATTTTTAATCAATTCTCTAATGCATTTTTGATTATCTATTTTAGATTTTTGCTGATTTTATTCATAAGGAAATGCTCTGAAAGCGAAAAATCCCCCTATCAGGTTTACACCGACCAAAAATTCAAGCTGCAAAAAATCATAAATTAAACACACTACATAAAGCTATATGTGCATTATTTTCCCGATTGTCATTATACAAAATGCCGTCTATTTAAAATTGCATATTAAACATTCTAACATGACGTTCTTCAAACGCTTTGAGTACACACCCGTGGTAGAATATGAATATATTGTTTAGGCTGTTCCGATCGTACTCCCGCGTCATTTGCTTTTTTATGAATGAGCTACCCGACGTCATAGAACGATGACGTAAGAATATAAGCATTTTACGGGAAAATACACGCTTGTGAAACCGAAAATCATCACAACAAGGAAACGTAAACAAACGATGCTTAAATGTGTTATATATGCAATTTTTTGTATACATATAAGACATATAAGTACAATTATCATTTAGATTCATCCAAACCTATCTAAATATGTTATTGTAAATAGTTTAAGCATGTCATTTATTCAGTTTGCTCCGGTCTGTTACGTCAATTTAATAGTGCGTTTATTTATGGGAACGGCAAATAATGCCTTCATCTAGAGCGCTTCGATCCAAAACAATTGCCGTATTTGTCCTATTAGAATCGAAATAATTCATGGGGGCTTGAATATATCGTGATTTTACCACGGTTTGTCCCTCTATGCCGATATTTTACCCCTCGCTATCGCTCAGGGTAAAATATTTATCATAAAGGGCCAACCCGTGGTAAAATCACGACATATTCAAGCCCCCATGAATTATTTCTTAATTAGAATAACAGAGTGCATTGCAGTAAAGTATCAAAAAGTAAAAAACTATAAAACAAAAATATCTGTTTAGTAAAGACACATTACTATTTTGATTTTTCATTTAATTGGTTTAAATGGGATAAGATCATATTGTCACATTGACTCTTCTTTGATAAATATTTAACTATATTCATCATTACTTGTGTATTTATCCAATATGTTATGTTGCCGATTGTGACATTTTTTTACTGAGTATGGAATCACATAGTGGGTGATGCGTGCACAGGATAAGATGTTTATCCTGTCGATGCACAGGCTAGTCCCTCTCCTTTTGAAGTTCATGCGATTCCCTCAGTTTTTTTGTTACCTTGATTTAACTTCTTAATCGACGTATGATACTTGAATATCGGTAAGCTATACTGTGTCCTTTATTTATACTTGAATTAATCTCAAAGAATGACGTGCTCAAATATTGTAGTAGTAATAATTAAAGTTTATTAAATATATGCTATTAACATATATGTTACTAATAATACTATAGAAAAGATTATCATCGTGAATATGCTCATTAAATGAAACATTTTGAAGTAGGATATCTATATTAAAGTATGTTGCTGCAGTTTTACGCGATTTGGAAAAATAATGCTGAGGACTAATTTTATTCTATAATGAATAGCAAAATCCATCTAAGTTTGTAAAATTCGGAAACTTAAAATGCATTTCACTTTTATTTATCTAGGTTTAGCCATGCTTTAAAACTTGTTCATGTGCTCAGGTTTGTCTGTACTCAGGGTGAAATTTGTGGTGTAAATAATTCCATATTTAACAAAAGCTTATGATGAACCTTAATGTGCATTGTAATAA